CATCCAATAAAGGATGGAGATTCTCCTTGGCTCTCCTTTTGTTGTTAATATATTTGTAGAAACATTTTTTATTATTTCTTTCAACAGTGTCCAGATTGAGTTCTAGCTGGGCTTTTGCCTTTCTAATTTCCTCTCTGCATGACCTCTCTGTACTCTTCTTCAGTTGCCTGCTCCTTCTTCCAAAGGTGGCAAACTCCCCTTTTTTTCCCTGAGTCCCAGCAAAAGCTCCCTGTTCAGCCAGGCCGGTTGTCTTCCCTGCTGGTTCGTCTTATGGCACATGGGGACAGCCCGCTCCTGCACCTTTCAGATTTCCTTCTTGAAGAATGCCCAGCCTTCCTGGACCCCTTTGCCCATCAGGACTGCCTCCCAAGGGACTTTCCCAACCGGTGTCCTGAACAGGCCAATGTCTGCCCTCCAGAAGTCCATGGTAGTGGTTTTGCTGACCCTCGTCCTTATGTTGCCAAGAATTGAAAACTCTATCATATCATGGTCGCTAATCACAAGATGGCCTCCGACCACAGCATCTCCCACGAGTCCTTCTCTGTTTTTAAACAGCAGGTCAAGTGAGGCACCTCCCCTGGTAGGCTCACTTACCAGCTGTGTCAGGAAGTTATCTTCCACACACTCCAGGAACCTCCTAGACTGTTTCCTCTCTGCTGTGTTGTGTTTCCAGCAGATGTCCAGCAAGTTGAAGTCCCCCATGAGAACAAGGGCTAGTGATTGTGAGACTTCTGCCAGTTGCTTATAGAATGCTTCATCTATGTTATTCTCCTGATTCTGATGGGGGGGGTGGGGTGTGTGTGTGAATTTTTATTGTAAAATGTTTATTTTATTATACAAGTTCAGTTGATTTTTATTTTTTAATTTTTTTTCTGCAGAGCTCCGCTGTATCCTGAAGTTTCATCTCTTACACACTCAAATGCCAAGGTATCAAAGTCAAAACTATTCTGGTTAATTTATCTTCTAGTATAATTTCCACATAGTACTTCTGGTTTTGAGGCTGTGCTACACTGGGGACTTACATGGGTGGGAAGCCAAAAGGAAATGGTGTTCAAAGCAGTGCTATGGGGACAGTCTTACCAGGGTTTGTCAGTGCTACTGGTCGTTAAGTGGACTTACATCACATTTAATTTTTGTGTTCTAAGTTTCCTCATCTGTAAAACATTGTGTTCAGGGTTTTGAACATCAAATTAAGAATTCCAAGTGCAAAGTATTAGAACGTAATTAATTTCTTCCTTTCTCCCCTTCCCTCCCCCACCAGTATAATACTGAAGACAGTACTACTGTATTCTAGATGTAATAATAAACAAGTAGGCAAAATAACTGAATACAGAAAGGGAAATATAATGGAGAAAGGAGACTGAGATTAGGAACAAACTCAGTAGTCTCTAATTACCATTACATTGAATCTTTTAGGAGGTGAGCTAAAGCTTCCAAAATGCTGTCTGCAGTTATTTATCAGAATACAGTGGAAAAAAGCCTAATTTTTGAAGAGTATTTACTTGAGTGAAAGTAAAAAAATACTGTTGATCTTCCTTCTACAGGGAATTTATAGGATTAAAATAATGCATAAAAATAGCATGTTTTTGAAGGTATGATAACCATTTTTCAAAGAAATGCACTCTGTTGACAGTTCAATAGATAATGTTTTGATAATAGCTGAGAGCCTTGCTTATGCATGAATTTATTATGAGTATATGTGCAAAAACTCCCACAAGCAAATAATTATTGGATGTATTATAATTTGGGCATATGGACATGAAAGTTGCAAGGTAAAGACATGTGCAAATAAAACTGGAAAACTGTGCTTTTGAAAGTTTAAAAAGCATACTTTGAAAAGTGTCCTTGATTCTGAATATATGAAAAAGGGGAAAAAAAACCCACAAAAACCACTAGAAAAAAGTAATTCCTAACTAGTTTTTAAAAAAAAAAAAAAATCACTACTTTCTGAAAAAAATTTATAGGTGGCAAACAAGAAGAAATGTGCTCCCATGCCCATGGCTCAGAACAGACTGTGCTCTGGAAGTAAGGGAAAAAGAACAACTTCAAGGTATATTATACACATCTCTGTAATAAAATATTTTAGTTGCTATTTTTGTCTATCAGGTTATTTTTACTCATCTATGCTTCTACATTTATATATATTTGTATAACTAAATGTATCAAACTTTTTGGTCCTCCTCAGCTCCACAGTGTAGCTATCTGTTTACTTGCATAGAGCACCAAAAAGTGTTAGTGAAGATATGTGATTAATATTGCAACAATGAAACTCTTGTTTTCTGCTCAAGCACTTCTCAAGGCTGACAGTTAAACTGTTAACTCCTTCAGTGAAAGGATGCCTAATGAGCATACATGTGGGAAATACATCATCTGAGGCAACATGAGAGAGCACCCTTAGGTGGTGCAGACTGATTTGTGATCAGAACTGTGATGGGAAACCCTCGAGGGTCTCCCCTATTTTGGTGAATCTTGGGCTCACAGGGCAAGAGAGAGTCAGTAATAGTACCACAGCTGTCAGGGGTTATGAGCTGAAAAGCTTCAGCTCTGTAGATAGCAAATTCAAGGTTGTAAAAGCAAGAAACGGAGAGCTGGACAAAAGAAAAGAGTAAAGAAATGCATAAAATCCTGGGAGCAAATTAAAACTGCCACAAGGTACGGACAAATACTGAAATAGGATGAATGTTGTCTGCAAGGTGGCAGAACATGGAATTGACGCAGGCCGAGGTTGTCTTTGAGGACTTGGGAGTCACTTATGGACCCTTTGGACTTGCCTTGGGCAGTTCAGGGGAGGCTGTCATGCTGGCACCACATCATGAGATTTAGAAGTGCAGATACAGGACCTGCAGGGTGAACCCAAAGTTGTGGGAGAAAGTTAGCAGCTAGAAGGAGTTTGGAGGCTGCATTGGGATGAGGATATATTGGAATAAGAACTTAGGAGCTTCAGATCCTGTGGGAACTAATGTCATCTTTTTATAAAAGAAAGCTGAGGAGATACCCTATGTAGCAGATGCATCACATACCTTGTATTTTGGTTTTATGAAAACTTTGGTATGCAACTTCTAGGATCAATGAATTCTCCTAGGCCAGGCATAACGATACAGAAATTGTGGTAGTAAGGTAGGAGTATAGCTAGAGAGGACAGAGTTCTAGAAACGTTAGTGGTGAGTTGAGGGGGGGGGGGGGGGGGGGGGGGGGAAAGCAGAATTCAAGGCAGAGGATAGTAGCTAAAGCCAAGAGAACATTTCTCTGTTTCTTTCTTTTATTCTGATTTAGTTATGAAGTTGTTGGGTGAGAAGACCATGCCAAAATCTTCTCAAGTAGAAAATGGCGCTGTTTCTCTGCCTCCTACATTATAATATGTAAAATCCTGTAATGGTTTATGTGGAATACAATAAAGGTACCTTATATAATGAAAATGAGAAATTGCCATCAATGCACCTTTCACACAAATGTGAGCAATGAAGTTGCATTAGGTAAATAACTGTGTACTCTTAAAAATAGCAAATACGCAATATTTTTGGTTGGTTTTATTATTATTATTATTATAAATTTAAAATCTAGGGTTTCCTTTTTTTAGTTCAAAGATAAGAAACCTGGAAGTGCAAAGTGCTGATGATGTTGCAGTACTGGAGGATTGCATAGATTTTTCTTTAGCAAAAACAATAAGCAAAATTGAAGAAAAACTAGAGAGAGGAGCCTTACCGGATTGTCTAGATGATGATATTATTCCAAGCATTGGAAATGAAATTGGAGCAGGTAGGTTTCCTCCCATGGTTAACTACTTTTACTTCTTGACTGTTAGAAATGGGTTCTCCTGGGGAAAAAAGGAAGAGTTTCTGTAGACGTTACAGGGAAAGTTCTAAAGCCCTTAAGTTAAAGGAAAAGATTCCTAGAGGAAGGTCAGGTCACATATGAATAATCATGGGAAAAAGTGAATTTTTATCTTGATTACCGCTTTTGTAGGGAGACATTTGGATGGTTACAAATGTTGAATATGTACATAACATTTGATTCATTTCATTGGGGAAATAGAAATACATGATGCTAAGCTTGTATTTCCAAAAAGATAAGCGTCAATCGTTTGCACAGATTCTGCCTTGAGAGGAAAAAGCCTTTCCTCGGATCAGTGCTATGCATCTTAGTAAGTGGCTTAAATGAAGTAATGTGTTGGCTACAGTGCTTGAATGAGAATTCTCCAAATACTTTCCCACTCCAAATGGTGTGTTTATATTTGTCCTAGAAATAGAGTAGGAAAGGGGATTGCAGCATTTGCCAGTGAAGCTAAAGGCATGATGTACATCTGTCTTCTTGGCTCTGGTGTGACAAAAGCGCGTTTATGTAGTTTCTTACAGTGCTAAAGCAAGCACAAAGTCAGAGATTCACTGCAGTAGTACAAAATGCCCAAACCTTGTTCTTTTAATCTAATGGCTTAATGTCAACAAGCATGCCAACACAGAAGTAGCTTGATTTCTAGCCTCATGGAATTCTGTGGAAGTCTTCCATTAGTAAGTCTCCCAAAACAGATCCTCAGATATCTTTTTCATAATTCTTGTTCCTGAACTAAAAAGAAATTGCTTTGGACTGCATTGGAAGCTTACACCAAACAAATTCAAGGTAACAAGGAGAGTTATTACTGGTATCTTATAATCAGGTCTTGTGGACCAAGGGCATGTATTTCAGTATTGAGAATTGTTTCGGTAACTTTAGTGATGAAATGAAAATACTCTGGATTGATTTTTGCTTTTTAAATTTGATATTGACTATTTAGAACACTCTGAATGCCTCCTTAATATGCTAAGTAAGTTATTGCAGAGCATGCTAGGAGTGTCAAACTCAGAACAGTTAACAGTTTTCACAAGGAAGTAGATGTAGATACTAAATAGGCCCTGTTACAGAGTGGGCTGATTCCTCAGTGGTAATCTCCTAGTAAGGGATTCCTTAGGCTTATGTGCCTGTGCTAGACTTTTTAGGCCAACGTGCTGATAAGGTTCCATAGCATTGTCCTTTCCCTGAGCTTCTTGCAGTGCTCTTCCTGGACTCAGGCTCCATATCTTTATTTCATGATCAGGTTATCACAGTGCAGCCATCTTGTTGCCAACACAGTAGCTTACGCATTATTTTTCTCAGGGGCTGTTTTTGTGGGTTATAACTTAACTCTGCAGTAACAAGCAATGATAGAAGCACAGAGACATGTAGAAGGCTGAAGCTCCATTTTTATCTAATATACCATCACACATACGAGCAAAATACCTGAATGTGTTCTCACACTTCATGTTAATCTTCAGATTATCTCAGGAGTTCAAGACACCTATTCTTTCTTGTAGGGTATGAGAGCCTCTCAGATGTCCTTTTCTTGTTTACTATTCCCTAAACTGTTGGTTACTTTATAACCTAAGACTATCCTGTTAAGTGATACCCCTCCCCCTTATCAGCCTCATCAGGTGATTAAAATTGACCAATTAGGAAGCTAATTGTTTAGTTATCTTTACCTCTTTTGAGAACTCAAACTAATTTTTGGATCATAGCCACCTCCCTAAGGCTGATCTGGTTCTAGATGTGCTCTTGGATTTTCAACAAAGTTTACTGCTAAGTGCTCTTAATGACACAGGGCTGTCTAAGACAGAAGAGAAGTTGTCTGTGGATTAATAACTGAGTAAAAGAGGAAACAAAATGTTAAAAAGAAACGATGAGTGTTTGCAGGTAGTGGTATAGTCCTAGAGTGATCTGTCATGGAGCTTACATTGTTCAATATACAGAAAAATACTCTGGAAAAAAGGAACGATAGCTGGTAAAGAAATTTGTATGAAACAATGATTTTAGGGTAGTTAAAACTGACATTGAAGTGTTGTAGGAGAATCTCATAGTTCCGAGTGAGGTGATGGAACGGAGGTTTATATTCAGCATTGAAGAGTGCAAAGTAACGCTGATAGAAAAAAACAACTCCAATTACACCTAATTCTGAGCTGGGCTTTGTTTAGTTATTACTAATTAAGACGTCTCCAAAAGCATAAACTTAATGCTTGTTCAGAGTGGAAAAGGCAAATTGATTGTTAGAAATCCTTCAGAAGATAACAGAAAACAAATTATTGTACTGTTATCATAGAATCATGGAATGCTTTGGGTTGGAAGGGACCTTTAGAGGTAATCCAGCCCAACCCCCTGCAATGAGCAGGGACAGCTTTAACCAGATCAGGTTGCTCAGAGCCCCGTCCAACCTGACCTGGAATGTTTCTAGGGATGGGGCCTCCACTGCCTCTCTGGGCAACCCTTTCCAGTGCTTCACCACCCCCATTGTAAAAAATTTCTTCCTTATGTCTAGTCTAAATCTATTCTTCTTTAGTTTAAATCCATTATTCCTTGTCCTGTCAAGGATTATCATTATGCTATTATATAATTGATGCCACCCCGTCTTGAGTATGACACACAGTTCTGCACACCCCATCTCAAAACCAGGATGCAGAACTAGGAAAGATACAGGAAAGAGTATATAGTAGCAATTAGAAGCGTGGAACAACTTGAATCAGAATCTTCAAATTGAAGACAAAACAACTGAGGGCAGTATGAGAGATTCTGTAATGAAAACAGTAATGGTAAAGGGAAAGCTGTCTTTCTGTAACACAAACGCTAGGAAATGCCACATTAAATTGGATCTAAAGCAAGCTATACGAAGTGTTTTTCTTTCACATAATGCATAATTAAATTAGCCAACTCATTGCCACAGGATATTGTGAATGCCAAACTACAATATGTTTTATGAAGGAAATCAAACAACTTAATAGTATAGAAGTACATGAAAGAGTATTAAACTTGATGGCTTCAAAATGATCTCCTTCTCAGGATAGCCACTAGTTACCAGAAGCTAGCAAGGACATAACAGGAGGAGGAAAGTCAGTCTGTATCTTATTTTTTCGTGGTGTTTTCCTAAATCCTACTTATTATTGGCCTCTGCAGAGTTACAACTTAAACTGCAATTGATAGTTGATAGGGGAAGATGGGTGAAATAAAAAGAATTCCTGTTACAGCAAATGAACACATGTACCCATCCATCCCTTCACGTTCAGCTCCAGATACTCCTCCTCCACTTTGTTCTTTTCCCCTTCTACCTACTGTGAATAATGGTTATTCCTGTGTTACTCAGCTTGATCCTCATACCGTTTTCATGCTTTGTGCCTGTGGAAGTTCAGGGGGAGTTCCTTGTGAATGATCTGGGGAAAGGGTGGGGAATAGGGAGTAAAAGAACATACTGTTGACACACAGCTTGTTTTGTCATGACAGTAGTATGTTTCTTGGCTGTCCAAGAGCAAGAAAGTACTTCATTTGGAAAAAACTTCTAATTAAATTGGTTTAATTTTAAATTATTAACTGAATAATGTTAGCAGTGTACTTTAAAAAAGCATAGACTGCTGTGTGGGAGGGGTGTTTACCTATTAGGAGGGTTTTGCAGTCTACATTTAATTCCTTGTTGTGAGCAATTTAAAACTGCTTGGGGTGTAACTACACAAATTGCAGCTACAGATCGTTTGTATGTAAAAAACCTACAATATAGTTTTCTTGACTTCAGTCTGAAGGAATGCTGTAATGTATAGCATAGTATGATGAAAGTTTCCATTCTGATAATTATGAGTCTTTCTTACATTTTAAAGGTGTCGAGTTCCGTCATTAAAAGGAAAAATGTATAGAAAGCTTTGCTTAAGAATGAGAAACTCGCAACATTTATTTAGAAATCTGAGGGTTTATTTGCTTATTTCTCTTTAATAATTGTAAACAACCTAGTGTGTTTTTAAAAACAAGAAGATGAAAGTGAGTTCTTACATCAGGCTTGCTTCTTTTCTGCATTGAATAATGAGTACTTGTGGATATTAAATGTAACTTCGTATGTTCACAGAAGCTCAAATCAGATTTCTTAAGGCAAAGTTACGTGTTACGCAGGAAGAGCTGGATAGTGTAGCGTGTGAATGCAGGAAAAAGGTAAGAGCTGAGTTTTCTTATCTGTAGAAACAGAATAGGTTCCCCTTTAACAAATAATCACAACAGAATTCTCTCACCTTTCTTTTTCAAGTATTAAGAACTAAGGTTCTGTTTTTTCAAATTTCCTAAGAATTTTGAGTGAAGAATAGTAATTTCTGTATAAATGTGATCTTGGGCTAAAAACTTGTGGAATATACTTAATGAAAAAGAATTTGAGGCAGGAAAGAACCACTGGGAATGAAGACGTGCCCCAGCTGTAGGGACCCTGCGGTGCTGCAGAGTGCCCTAGCCATCACTGCTGGGAAGGAGAGTGTTTCCAGAGCCTGAGAAAAAGGAGGATGATACAGTAGCAGTCAACTATAGATTTTGGTATGCAGAGAGAAGATGAGTGGTGCCCGGAGCTGCGTGATGGGAGGAGGGGGATGTTTAGGGCAGAACGAGAAATAAAGAAGCTTGAGAAATTTAGTCAGGTAGTCAGCTGAGAAATTTAGTCAGCTTTGGGTGTCCTTGGTGGGGAAAAAGTGTGGAAACTGCTGATCTGTGATCCACTTTAAGTGGAATATTGTAATCAAAACAGAAATCAGACTTTCTCTGTTCTCAAGATATTAACTTGCTGCGAAGGACTGTATGTGGAATTACGTATTTGGGCAGACCAGACTGAAGTTAAGGCAGTGTGAAGCTGCACTGATATTTTAGTGTTAGAGTGTACTACAAGTGAGTTTTATGATCTGTACTGTTTGGCAATATGTTTTCAGGTGATGCTCAAACATCTCTTGAACTGTAAAACCTTCAATAGTTTGTGTCTGTCTGCCAGAGGGATCGCCTCTTCTTCATGCATTTGTAATCAAGCAAGGCTTTTGAACTAACTTTCCATTTTCACTATTAGATTATTCTTAGTTGTGGTCTCCTAACTTAAGAATCCTTTTTTCCACCTATTCCCCAGGCCCAAATGTAATGATGACATATGGCAAACCACCTATATGTTTTCTCTCAAGCTTTTACTTTAGAGTTAAGGAGCAGGGTGATGGTAAATAAGATTTTTGAGATAGGTACCTGGAGAAAATCTTTAAAAGGAATTAGATTTTGATATTTTATATCTGTACTTTGTACTTCATTTCATTTTTATCAATATTGTTGTTTCTGCATTTCAATACTTTTATGCTGTGATCAGAAGAAAGTTGTTACATTTGATTTTAAAGACATTTTCAAATCAAATACAATTTTGTCAGTAGCTATTGAACTTCATAATTCCATGCCAAAAAAACTACAGAATTCAGTTACTGTAGCAGATGACAGAAGACAATGTTGTACCTATTCTTGTCCTGCTCCCATAGCACTCTGTATGTAAATGCATCATTTTGGGTACTAGTTTCTCTGGAGAATAAGAAAATAACTTTATTACATTCAGAAGGTCACAAAAATTTCATATTGGCAATGCCTTGAGATAGATTCAGGCTTTTGTTCCAATTCACAGTCCAATTGTTATAAGGAAGTAGTAATTTGGTTTTAAATATAAAGAAGGGGGAGTTTCTGAGGTGCGTGTGGTCACATGAAACTTAGGGTAAAGCACATATATTTCCCAGGTGAGAAGCACATATTCCTAGAGGACAGGAGAGAAAAGACTTGTTTTCACAGAAACTCCCTTTCTGTATGTGGCTTGATTTCTTAAAGAAATGAAGGGCATAATGTATCTCTGAAATAACTTACATAAGTATTCACTTACAATGTTTAAAAGGTTATAAAAGAAACATGCCTTGAAATAATAATGCTTAATGTGGGATGTAATTGCCAGTAGGTCATGAAGCTAATACAGGATTCACTTGATGTTAAGAGAATCATGAATTTGAATACTTGATGTATCCTGGATCATTAGCTTGCTTTTAAGTCAAAACCGGATAATCTCCTAGAACATAATGGTTTGATTTATCAGTAATTATATTCTCTTCTTTTCCCCAGAATTTTTCCTAATGTGTGCATTTAGCTGTTCTCACAAAAATTTCACAAAATATCTGTGTGCCTCTGTTACTCATATTATTCTATAATATTTTGATAGTTAGTTCGCAAAACCTTTGAACTATGAGAAATTAAATGTTTTACATACTGCTACAAGACAGTTCCAAGTAAAAGACTGCAGAAAATTAAATGAGAAAAGTGTTACTGTTTTTTGAAGTATTGTCCTGGTAAATTGGTATTTTGTTCTCTTAGTTTGTCTTAGTTGTTTCCTTTCTTAAAACTGTTGTGAAATCCATCATGAAGGATCTAAACATTTAAAAATAACCTAATTTTAAAAAATTGTTATCTCCATATCTACAATATGTATATTTTTACTGCCTTTTATTTACAAAACATTACTATTGCATTATCCTACTGCTTCCTTGCAGTAATTTAGTTGTGTTTTTTTGCTAATTACTGTCAAACAGGATGATGAAAATCAGAATTTAAAATCTCGGCTTAAAGGTACTGAAGAAGAAAACACCAGACTGCAACGAACAATCAGTATGCAACATTCTCAGACTGAAAAGTACAAAATGTTGTCACAAGAAGCAAACAAAAAAAGTGAAGGGTTACAACAGGAGGTCATTGCGCTAGAAAAGGTATTGCAGATATTAGTCTCATTTATCTCACGAAAGGGAAAAAAACCACATCACATCACCCTCTGTATGCTAATTTGATAGATTCATATCCAATGATCGCATTAGCATTTTAATCTCTGATAATAGTTTTAGAAATTGTATTTTAAAATGGTCTAATCTCTTGTTTAAAGGAAGAAATAATACATTTTGCTTATTGCTTTTCTTCTGCTTCTACAATCATATATTTGTGTATTTTAAAAGTTAAATTCTTGTATAAAAGACCCGCAAGAGACAAAACAACCTTTTCAGAAACTGCTGCCAAATTCACAAAGGAATCTTGAAAAATACAGGGAAATTTTATTTTTCTGGTTTTAATTATAATTGTTAAAAATTACTTCTGGTAATAAGAGATTTATTGTAAACTGTAGAACCTGGTGAACATTTTGAAAAAAAAAACCACCTGCAGCTTATATTAGTACCTTCTGCAGGTAGAGGAAAGGACGTGTCTTTGTTCTTGAAAATGGTCTGTTTGTAAACCAGCCGCTTCAGTTTGGTTGAATCAAAGTTAACCTGGCTCCTGCTGTAGGCCACGTACGCAAAATTGTGTATGTGCCTCGTTGTAGCAGATGGCCTGCATACACAGTTTTGTTTGTTTGGAACTTAATCTAAGAGCAGCATGTGTTTTTCTTTAATTACTCAGAGCTAGAGAGGTTGACTTCAAAATCATGTAATACATATAGCATACAGGAGAATGTTTCACTTAAAAATTTGGGGAAAACAGAACACAGCTCAGCCTAACAAAGTCTCGTTATACTTCCATTAAATCATACTATGCGTTTGTATAGGCATGCTTTCATCTTAACGTTATGTAGTTCTGGCATTTTAGAACCAAAATGGTCTAAGTTTGTGTGTTCTTTTTGTGCAAGATACTTGGAGGTTTTAAGTTCCCTTAAATAAGTACCCTAATTGTTGATTCTGTCGGGAAAAATATTCTATAGTAGTACTCATACTACTCATTGGCTCACAGTAAATAGGGCTAAGAGACTTACAAAGTCATTTAGTCCATTCTCTTAAGCCAGACGTGGTAGATTATATCCAAACTGTCATGGTCATAAGTTTGTTTAACCTGTACTTAAAGCCTTCTGTGATGGCAATTTCCATAATTGCCTTAGACAGTCTTGGTTGTTGTACACAGTCACAGCTAGAAAGTTTATCCCAGTATTTAGGAGGTATCTGTTGTGACGGAAAGTTTATTCACTTCTGTAAAGCTGCTATATCCAGAATGTCACTTTCCTCACTTGTCTTTGCTCTGGATTTACCATCCTCAGTTGCTTCAATTATTCCTAATAGGTTGTGTTTTCTAGAATTTCTCAAGGTTACTGATCAGACATGGCCATGGCAAATAGTGGTAGTTCTTTAAAATACTGAGAACGCAAAAAAGGCAGGTATATGTAATGCATGGCTCTCTGCTAATTCAGAAGTTATTTTACATACTTTTCTGATATAAAAGACTTACTGCCAAAAACATGCAGTTAAAAATAATTTTGCAGTAACTGCTTAAATCTCCTATAGACGTAGCAATCTGAAAACGATTTTATTCTTTAGATATAGTTCAACCCTATACAATTAATGTAGTTGTAGCTTAATTCTAGACATGTTTAAAAACAATTTCCTGTGAACACGGGCCCGAGTTTGTACTGCTGTGCCACTAAACTCTCAACACTCATTCAGTCTAGAGACAGTTTTCTTTATAGTAGAGATAGCACAAATGTAACCTCTGATTTTTGGGCTTTTATTGCTTTTGCTGTGATTTCAGTTGCAACATAAATAATAGAAGACTTAAGTTGTGATACATGCTTTCCCAAGCTTCCTTAGATTATCAACAATTTATGCAATTTCATTAATCCCCCAGCTACTTTTTTTTGTATGTGCCTAGGCAAAGATTCTCACCTAGTTTTCACAATTTACCTGAAACATGGTAATTAGTTTGTTATTTTTACATTTCATTCTTTTGGTGTTTGGCCTCTGTGAACATTTCTGCTGGAACAGAACACCTCAGGTAGCAGCTGAATTCTGATGCTCCCCAAAAGCTCCATCCTCTTCTTTCCAGCATTCCTCGTTTTTTTCCAACTAGTTGATCTAATAAATCATATCACCTCTGCTCCACTTTTTCACCGCCTGTCTACAAGAACATTCCTTCCTCTGTGTTCACTTGTTAATTCAATCTAGCTATAATGTTGGATAAAGGTCAAGGAAACACCAAAGCTGTGCTCTTACTCCTTTTAAGGCTTTGTGCAGGGATTTTAGAATCTGCCTTGAAGAAGGGCTTGATGTTACACAAAAGTTCTCTCTCAAATGTTTTTGGTGGTGGACAGGTGTTGCTGAGCTTTCTCGAGATAGAAATGCTGTGTATGCTTGCTACTGGGAGGAAAGCAAGCCTGCTGGGAGGGTTACTGATAGACAGCTCTCTGGTATCACACCCCTTACTGATACTCAAGTGCCTCAGCCACTCCAGAACAGTGGAGAAAATCCAGAGATTGAAATGGGACACAGTTTTAGAACATAGTAGTTTTTTTCCCCTCTTAGAGAAACATTATATGAGAAAATTAATCCAGCGTTTATTTAAAGTATTGAAGAATTGGCAGAAACCTTGCCTACTTGCAAAATAAAATACTTATCTCAGGCGTTTTTAGGATGAGAAACTTGGTGTCAAATATATTTAACAATATACCCTCACTGGCTGACTTGCAAAAAATTTGAGAAGGTATTACATATGACAGCAAATGTCAAAAAGCCCTAAAAGAATTATTAGAATACTTTCATTAAATGATATGATTAGCTGATACATAATTTGTATTGCATGCAGACTATTTTTTTGGTCATTAAATGCTTGAAAGGCTATATTCCAAAGCTTTTCATATTAATGCAGAATAAAATACATAGCATGAAAGATTTAGTTGACCCTATTCACAGCTCCATCATCTTGATACAAGATAAAGAGGTTTGCATGCTGTGCAGCTTGTTTTCTGTGGAAACATGGGAGTCAGTTTCCAGTAAGCAAATTTGCATTCCCCGATGATGCACGTGCACGTGTTCCAGGGAGGGGCTCTGCTGCCCTACTAGCCAGGCTTTTACCCAGCCTTTTTTAATCAATCAGGTGGACAGGTTAGCGGCAAAAGAAAAATGTTGAAGCAACATCTGGTTTTGTGAACTCTGGAAGGAGGCACATTCACCAGTAGAGTTTTGGAGGATTAGTGAGATGTGTCTACTCTCCTGTTTTCTTCATCTGTTTTGGAGAAGATTCAGAGCTTCCCAGAAATACCTGTTCCAGTCATAACTTTACCGTAGTGTCTTTGCTGCATACACTTGTCAATTAGTATGTATTTCTTGGATAAACAACGTGGAAATTAGGAGTAACCACCACAAGAGCTGGTGTGGAATTGAGAAAACAGAACAGTTACTCAGCAATAACAACTCTGAGGATAAAAGGTTAACAATAAGCTGCTTCTCTACCCTGATTTGATTAAAAGAATCTTTCTGTGCCCTTGACTAAAAATTTGATAGTCTTTTAGAAAAAAAGCCTATTTCTTTCTCACAAATGACAAGATGTGCTTTTTCTGCCAGAATTGTTTATTTCTTCTACTTTGTCTTTTATCTATATTCCCTGATCTTTAATCTCATTATTCTGTTGCCCAACTTGGTCTCTTTTTCTCATTTCCCCTCTTACAGCACTATGAAATACTATCATCAGAGACAAGAGGGAACTGTTCTGATTGTTGCCACACTTGATGAACTATTTTCTGCTAGATGAAATAGTTACTACCCTCAGCCATCTTCAGTAGGCTGTTACAACTTTTTGTTGGTAATTGCATGTAGTAATCTCTAGGGAAAAGAGGTAAAAGGAACAAGTGGGAAGAAGCAGCTGGGAATACTAGCCACTGTTCCAAAATTTACCACAGAGTGGACATACCAACATGTTTTTTTCTGACTGAGCATACAAGGGTTTTCAGTCAATCCGGTGGTCTTACATGATCAGATCCACAATTTTCTAAGAGAAGTTTAAAACAAAGATGAGAAAGTTCCCTTTCCAAGATTTCAGAGGAGAAGGGGATGTTTTAACGGTGGAATTAATGGTCTTTGAGACAGATTCTATCTGCAGGCCAAAGTAGTCCACAGACTCTTAAGTTTTCAAGAGTGAGCCTGGCTCTAAATGTCTTGTCTATATGGATTCATTAAAATACCATTATTCATAATGTTGGTTTTATCCTTTGCTTCTTACATAGGAATTGGAGAATCTAAAGCGTGTACAAAAGCAGGCCACAAGCAGTCAGAGTGCAACAGAGGTTCGCTTAAACAGGGCCCTGGAAGAAGCGGAAAGGTATAAAGTGGAGCTGAATAAACTGAAGCAAAGTAACAAGGTACAGTGGCTCCGGAAAACAAGTTCCAACCTGTAAAACTCAGTAATGCTAGAATGAGACAAGAGGCTTGATCAGCTTTGGAAGTATTGTGTCCCTTACAGACAGTCCCAAAATTAACTTAGAACAAGTCACCAAAGGGCTTGATAAGTTATCTTGGATGACACTACTGCAACCTATGCAGGAGGAGGAAATGTACGGAATAAAGTTGCAGCCTTTCTGATTTTCCCCATTTGTGTGAAAATTAGATGTGTTTAGAAAAAGGGAGAAGTACACATACACACCTAGTACATACACAGGCAAACCACGGCTGTTATCGTTGAGATTTTCTTTTCTTTTTTTAAGTTTTGATGTGGGAATATTTTGATTAATCCCATTTCTTTTCAGAAATGTCATGTGTGGCTGCTGTTTGTCATTTTGTTATGTAATACCAAGTTTCGTTGGTTAAAGCACCACTTTTCATAAATAATACATTTCTTCTTTTCTTCCCGTGGCAGGATGTAGCTAACCAAGAACTCAAAACAATTGAAGAATTAAAAACAGAAAACAAGAAACTGCAGAAACAAAAAGGAGAGCTAATGACAGGTTTTAAAAAGCAGTTAAAGTTAATTGATATTTTAAAGAGACAAAAGGTAAGGACCAGAATAGAGTTGTATCTCAGTTAACACCCTCTAGCTAAATGCATCTGTTGTCAAGTAAGGTAATCATGTAAACTAGAGCCCCAAGACTGGGAAATTTCAATGCGAGGGAGCAGCAGCCTCACTTTTATTAGTGCATATTGCTAACACTTTGCTTTGTAGCAAAGGCTGATCTTCTTTTGAATTGACCCCATTCCTAACTTGGAACATATCCTGTCACAGTGAAGGTTTACAACTGACGAGCTTTAGGACTGAGAGTATCTATTTGTTCAAGAACAAACACTGTTCAGGTAAGAACAGCAACTCCCTTCCTTTGGTGCTGTGTCAGTAGAACCCATTTTAGCATGTGAGATTGGTTTTTTTTTTGGTTTTTGCCCTGCAACATGTTACTTGTTGTATCAGCAGCTGCAAAAGTGTGCCCTCTCAGGAGTGAGCCCTTACATTTCAGACCTACATTCTTCCTGGGGTCTCAAAGTGTGTCCTTCTCTATTAACATTATTTCCTTTTATTTATATTCTGAGCTGTTCCACACATGTACAATTCTGCCCAGGTGCAGATCTCCTTGTGTGTCAGACAAAAAAAAGAAAAAAAAGAAAAAGGAAAAAAAAAAAAAAAAGAAAGTACTTGCCCTAGCTGTGAATTTACTAGATTGAAGGAGGGGAGTTGATCTCCATCCTTTTGTAATTCCTGGAATATCATGCATACTTTGAATCACACACACTGTAGTAACATCTGCACGGCTGCATGGGTGTTCACATCCACACTGCGCTTGCAGCTAGCCTTATTTTGAAAGTTGATTCTACACTCATTTCATGCCTCCCTCTGTTCCTCTCCCTCAGGGCATAAAAGGGAGGGCAAGGGCTACTGCCTTTGAGTGTCTTTAGCAGCTGAAGCTGAAATTGAATAGAGGATAGGTAGTAGAATACTCACTGACAATTCATGCTGTACAATTAGTGATACAGCTTACGTAGAAAGGTGGTGTAGCGAAGTGGATTAACACTTCAGATGATAGAAAATAGCTAAAAATGTATTTAACTATTATATTTGATAAAGCTGTACCAATGTCCCAAAAAGAAAGGGTTGTTTTACTTGGAAAGAGAAACCTTGGACACGGCAGAGTGGGTAACCACCTTATATGTCTCAAAATCTATTTTCAGCATAGGCCTGTCACATGAGCTTTGGTGGTACAAATTGAAAGATCCTGTGAACTTACATGAAAGGAAGTTAAAGTGAGAGGAGTGCATACTAAGAGATGTTGCTCAAATCAAACAATTTTCACTTACTGATGCATTTAGGTCTTACAGTTCCAGCACACCTTTCACTTACCAAATACTTGGGATTGGGCATTATCATTTGTACCAGTTTTCCTTCTGAGGCTGCAGGAGAAATGTGCAGAGCTATGGGCTTCACGGTTGTCTAGATAGGATCTTAACATCGTAGAGTGGTTCACCTCTGATTGCTTACTTTGCTGAATCTAATGTGATTCATTTTGGGATGGAGTTCATGCACTGCTTTTTGTGCTCTCAACCCAAAGCTGTAAGAGAACTAAAGCAAGCACCGCATGGTGAGTTGTTGAGCAGAAGCACCTTAGAAGGGCCAGCCTTTGAGATAAGAAAATAGAACATTTGATTTACCCTTTGAGCGCTGCAGTGATCACCAGACATTTGTAAACGCTCTTGAAGCTGTTGAGCCCCCAGAGAAAGAATAGTCTGTATTGAGTGGCAACTTTGTGTAACAAAATACACACACTTGTCCTAAGAATTGGGAGTTGCAGTATGGCAATACACCCTTGAATCTGGAATGCCTTTCCAACATAGGACAAAGGAGAATAGGTAACTGGAATAAGAGGAACTGGGACTGCTCGTGCATTTCCCATGGAAGACAATTTTTCTGGCAGTAACAGCATGCAGAGGAGATCTTGGGGATTTGTCTAACAGAAATAGTGCTAGCTTAGCCTTTGGCTGGCCCTTCTAGCTCCTCAAATTTATTTTAAGAATGAAAAAAAATGCAGCATTCACAGAAAATGTACCCTATACATGAGGTAGCTCATTGGCCTCTGGAACTTGAATTCACTGAGATGGGTGTCAAAGAGAAGTATTTCCATTTGTGATCCAAAAACATAGTTTCAGACAAACTTCACAAAACTTCATTAAATATATATTTTTTTAAAAAAAAAATCTGAATACTGTATCAGAACTGCAGATAGTGGAGGAAGCCACTTACCTTTTCTTATGAATAATGTTATTTACTGACAGAAGAAGGATGCTGTTAGTTCTCCTTTCAGAACAGCCTATGATTGGAAGAACCTGAAAGAGAAGGGCGTGCTAACTCTGCATTTTTTAGCTTCTGGCAGAAGGCACAGGGGAAGGGCAGCTAAAGCTAACGTGCATTCAACATACATAATCACCTAAAGAACTGCAAGTCTGCTTCACACAAGCCTTTTCTTTTGTTGAATGAATGAGGAAAACCTAATTTGGGCCATTTGTGTAGTATTTGTGTGGCTGATTCCGATGCACATAGGAGGTACAGCTAGCCTGAAGGTGAGGATATGCTACCACATGAAGAATGACAGAGGAAAAAAAATCCCCCAGATGTATTAAATATCAGTAATGGGATGAGTTGCAGCTGGCAGCAACTAGTTGCTGGTGTTCCACTTGGTCTCTTCAGACCATTCTCTGCTTGCCTTGAGAGAGAGAATTTAATAGAAAAATCTTAGTTTTAAAAGGGATTAAGGGAAGTTATTCTGAGCTTTACAGAGCTGGAGGGCGTTATACTGCCTGTGGGAACTGCAATACGCTTTGTTGTTGTTTTGAACTGACTATATGTCTATATATAAAAAAACCCCGCAACAGATTCCTTGTAGACATAAATTGGTTCCTGTTCTTCAAACCATAACCATTTTATTAAAATTTGCAGTAAAAACTATTTAGCTGGGACACTTTCCTTTCCACTTTGAATGATGGTAGGTGAAGAGATTATACTGCGGTGTGGGGATGAGGACGTGTGGCACAGCTGTGACCTCTGCTGTGACATCAGCTGGAACCCAGCGAGCTTTTGGGGCTTTCCGCCTGCCGTGCCTTTTTGATTGGTAGTTCTCTGCAACTACACTGACCATTTAGTACTTGTTTTCTCATCCAATGCTGATGACCCTGATGACATTTTTCCAAGCAATTGCATTATTTGCAATTGGTCTGGCATCTAATTTAAGCACCAACAGTTCTTTTATAGAAATGATCGTAACTTGTTTTAGCTATTAGATATAAACACCCTTAGCTTGCAAAAACATACGTGAGACTTGCCCTTCCCTATCCAGACAGACTCCACAATCTGATAGAATTGTGTTGTTTAGAATGGCTACTTTAGTCAAGGTGAAAGTATTAAGAGGAACAAGAGGAAATACCCTTGTTATAAGTTAAAAAGTTTTGTTTGTTCCTCTCAGGGTTCCATTTAAAGTAATGTGCTATATCCTATGTAGTGGAAATATGAATTCAGACTAGTGCATGAGTTTTAAACATACACATATGTACGTGTGGGTGTGTGTGTATATGTGCCATAATGGACCGTAGATGTATGGTGTGATACATGGCAACACAGCTACCAGTGGTCAGCTCCAGGTATTTCTCATTAAGGTGTAGTACTGTTACTCTGTGTTATATGCTGATTATTAATTTTTAATGGTGTTATATTATTTTGTTAAAGTCCTCATTTAACATTAAATCACGCACATTAGAGGCGCTAGCACACTGAATCTTAATGACGTATTGGATTTGTAATAGCTTTAAGGTTAAGCTGTATATTGATCAGCTTGAAAGAATGTATACCAGTTTTCTTATATGTGTTCTTTAGAGGTCACAGGAGTTGTCAGATTTTCAGTAATTTTCATGCCTCATTAAAACCGAGATATTTTGAAAGCAATAGAAGGAACTAAGAAAAGCTATTGGTCCTGTTTTACTAGAGCTGAAGTTGCAATGCTTAGCATAAAATTTATCAAATTATCCCTGCACTATAAATTTTTGCAGAAAAAATATGAATAGTGGCTTCAGCTTAAACAGGTGACCATCCATCAAAACCACAGTATGAAAAAATAGAATGACAGATTGGAAGCCCCTTTCAGCCGTCCCAGTTATACAGGATTTTGTGTTGCTCGTTCACACTATTTTACCTTCTGCTCCTAATTTTTTTTTTTTTTTTTTTTTTAAGATGCACATTGAAGCTGCTAAGATGCTTTCTTTTACTGAAGAGGAATTCATGAAAGCTCTTGAGTGGGGAAATTATTGATTCCATAAAAAAACCAACTTCTGTTTGAAATACAAGTCAGATGGTACATTATTTTGGCAATGTATATGAATGCTCGTTAATGATAATAGTTAATAACTGTGTATCCCAGTGAACTGATTTTGTTGATTTTGCTTATGTTTAAATCATTTAACTTTTATAAGCCTGACAGCTTGTGTTGTAATGCCATATGAAATACAAATTTCTACTGAAGTTTCAGGCCAAACTGTCTATTCTGTAATGAGCAGAAAAGCACAGACCGTGCAAGGAATATTCCAACAAGTGAACTTCGTTATCCGTTTGCTCTGTTTTAGCATTTAAAACTATACTTTATCTAAGGTAATATTCAGTCCAACGAAGTCAGGGTTTAGTCTCAGAAAATTCCTTGTTGCAACAAAAATAAATTAACCAGTGATCCAGTTGAGAAGAAAATGTCATGTCCTTTTTAAAACATGTGGCTGGAAAATTGGCCTTGTCTGTTCTCTGTAACAGATCTGCCCTCAAAGCTAGTTGGTCTGGCATCTAATTTAAGCACCAACAGTTCTTTTATAGAAATGATCGTAACTTGTTTTAGCTATTAGATATAAACACCCTTAGCTTGCAAAAACATACGTGAGACTTGCCCTTCCCTATCCAGACAGACTCCACAATCTGATAGAATTGTGTTGTTTAGAATGGCTACTTTAGTCAAGGTGAAAGTATGAAACCTTTCCCTAGCCATCAGCTGCTGCTTTGGGATACAGTCAGGAGCGATGGCTCCATAGTCACAGGTGCTCTACAACCATTACATCCTTAAAGATTTTATTATGTCATCATTATAATCAAGAACTAGATAAAAGTTTGAGTGTAGATGAGGTGAGCATATCATGTGTACATTAATGAACAGAAGCAACAAAAGCTTGTGCTGCTTGCATGAACCTCTGTTAAACCTCAGCTGTTTCAAGGGATTCCTCCCTTGGACGAACTGAATAGGAACACAGCACATGAACAATAAGTTTATGCACTGAAAGAAAGGTATAAATTATGATTCTGACCTCAAAACAGAGAAATGTCTCTCCTTAGGTCCTACTAGCAAAGTAACGTGAACTAACAGCGAAACAAGTAACTCAGACCTACCTCTTTGAGATGAGACAAACTCCATTTAGATTAGTATTTTAATAGTGTAATGCCAATGCAGATAAATCTTTAAATTGCAACCAGAAAGAGTGCATTAAGAGAATTTTATAGTCCATACTGAAATACACATGTGAATTTACACTAGCTTGGGTTTCTGCAGAGTTGCTGGAGAAAACGTTTTTAACATTGCTACATCGCTAACCGAGAGTAATTGAGAAATGTGTAAGTTTATTGGTGAAAAATGCAAGTACAACATACACTTAAATAAAACTAGCTGCTCAGCAGTTTAGAACTCCAGTCTTAAAATGGAGACTTTTTATGTTATTAAAAAGGAGTTCCTCACTGTTAACAGCAAATGGAAGTTTTCGTTAGAAATCAGATGACACCTAGTGGCAAACCAGGAGATGGGAGAAATTTCAGCTCTCTTCTGAAAACGCATTACCTCTTCTCTTCTGATAAGCCAACCTAAATTCCTCTCCAAGCATGTTAATGTCATGTTCATCTTTGAGTATTCCCTGCAATAAGGGCAAAGAAGCACGTCAGAAGGTAAAACGAAGTACAGAGATTATTATGGACCTCTGAAATTTTCAATGGAAGTGAATGTAATAGCTTGTATCCATAGCACTAGTGCTACCTTTAAAACAAACAGCCCTGAAAACCATCACAGAACTTCAATAGCCAAGTTTCACAGTGGCATACTTGGTGCTAACCTAGAACCACCTCTTTTGTTCTTCATGCAAATGATGATGAGAACCCCCGTAAAGGTTCCAAGATAAGCACTATACAAAAGAGGACATTTGTCTGCATTCTCTTTGCAATACAAGTGATTATAGCCAGCACAACACAGGTGCACGTGTGGTAAAATCAAGCAACTGCACTGAAAAGAGGCACTGGCTGGGGTGGGGCTCTATCTCCACCTTTAGTTGTGTTAAAATGAGCCCATACAAAGAAATTATTTTAGAAATCAACTGATACTGAATAGCTTAATCAGCAACTATGTTTTGGGGAAGGAAAGCAGGGGAACCCAGAAATCTAAATCTCTAACTAAATCGAAATTTATTTTAGGGCTAAAAATGTGTATGACCCACAGAACATACCTTGCAGCATCTGGGGGGGGGGGGGGAGGGGGGGACGGGACACGCTGGAGGTTGGGGGGGGGGGGGGGAGGAGAGGGGGACGGGACACCCTACAAATTGCATTTACACTGGAGACTTTAGAATTAGGTAGTGCTTTTCTATTTAATCATTTTAAGTGAAGTAACATAATGTATGACCACATGATTCAGGCACAGCATTGAAGCAGAGAAAAGAACAAAGTAGAAGATCAAAACCATGGAACACGTATGAGCTGCGGACACTCTGAAATAGCCAAGACTTCCTACAACAGTAAATTCAAACCAGAAAACTAAATCAAAGTATTGCCAACTTGAGTTATCCTTTAATTAAATCCACATTAGAAAATAACTCACTCCAAATTTTACAAATCCATGCACCAAATTAGCATATTAATACTTGAATTAAAATTACTCTGCTATATTTACAATATTTTCCAGTATTATAGAAAAGAATTTATTTAGGTAGTTGAATAATTCTCTTCCTACCATAAATGCATTTTTACATCCCTAAAGCAGCTCTCCGTTCATTTGTGTACCATCAGGTGATCTTTCCGATTATAAAGTACAATACAAAACAAATTGTAGTTTATTCCTATTACAATAATTGCTTCCATCTTTTTAACTTTTAAAAACACAAGGATGAACAGAGTGAGCTTTGAAATGCTTCTGTAAGCACCGCAGTTTATTGCACTGCAACAGAGATGAGGCCTTGTTTCCATGGTAACAGAAGACTTAGAAGACAGTCAACGCTGTAAGAAATTGCTCCCAAAACCCCAACTGAGAAATTTCTTGGAAACGCAGTTTAAGATACAGTGGACCCCCTTCTAGCTAGAAAAGCCCTGCTTTAGACTTACATTCCATACCTGCAAAACTGGATGCACAAAGTGCTGTGGAAGCTTTCAGCAAGTTCTCTACAAGGCATCAATATTGCCCTAGAGCCCAAAGCCCCTCATACAGAAAGAATATTTTTGTAAATTGCTTCCCAACTTGAAAAGAAAAAGAAAAAAAAAAAGGAAAAAAACAAGAAAAAAAAGGAAGATGTGAGCACAGGAGAGCTGACACAATAAGGACACCCACTGACTCCAGGAACTTACGCAGTTCTGCAGCTTCACTGGAAACTACCCAAGAGAACACTGATTTATAGGACAAACATTTAAAGCATTTAAAATACAATTCACTTACTCGAGGAAGATAACCCAATAATTTAGATGCATGCTCTTTCAGGAGTTTCTGTCTCTCTTCTTCAACAATTGCACGGATGTTTTCTTGTCTTCTCTCCTCTAACTGTCTTTCTTCAAGTTCACGCTCCTACAATAAATAAGCAAGTTTTCGTAACTGTTCAGTTTCAGCTCCGCAAACATTTGTTTCCACCAATATCCACCATAGTCTAAAGAGAAAAATCTATTCAGTGGAGTACATTTTGAACTTCCACTTATTAACTCCTGGTCAGAGAAAATTAATTTGAAAAGGATGGAAAAGGGTATGTAAAAAAACAGAAAGCAGTGTTTAAACAATACATGTTTGGTAACTAGAAAAAAATCTCCGACAAAAGAGAAGACTGAACAGCAAGACATGGGGCTAGTCTGCTACGTAAGCGTTTGGTCTCATACTAGAAGCCCTTTTAAAGGCAGGTAAGTGTTAAGTTCTGGTTCCTTTTTGGCTCTCAGACAAGGTAGTCTGCTCCTGCCCTACTGTTCTAATCCAGGAAAAGGAGAAATAGGCACATATTCTCATGCTGATGACTAGAAATTGCAATTCACATTACACATGCGATTGATACTCTTATAAAAGAGGTCCAAAAACTGCAGTATAGGATTCCATGGCTTCTTTTCAGTTTACACCTTTTCTTCCTCAGATGGTAACTCGAGGGACTTAATCTAAAAATCAAAGGTGGGACTTCCCCATCTGACACATCACCATCGGTGCTGCTGATCAGGGACGCTGAGCTGGACAGCAGTTGTGTCACTGATCCCATAGCTCTTGAAGAGATCTTTGCAGAGCATGGCAGGCATACAGGGGCCTAGGGATGTCGCTGACTCCAACCTCTTGAGCTACAAAAAGTTAGCTCCAGGAAGACTTTTTTCTTGTCAGCAAGCCAAAACAAAGGCCTGCTTCCTCCCCGCACATTTCTACTCCCCTCTCACCTTTCCCTAGTAACAGTAGCCTTGTCGCTTAGGATAGCAAAAGTATTCTCGTACTGAAACGCTTTGGCTAAACCAAAGGCAAAAGTGAAAACTCTTACTTTATCTGCAATAAACTGTTTGCGACGGTCTTCAATAAGTTTTTCCACAGCCCTTTTGTGTTCAAGCTGTTTCATTCTTCGTTTCTGAGCATTCATCTGTTCAATGCGATCATCCTCTGCAAACTTGGCCAACATCTGTTGTCTGAAGGCTGCTTCCTCTTCTTGCATAGCTTGTCGCGCTACCTCCTTTAAAGCAAATTGCTCTTCGTACGTTTGCCTTAAGTCTAGGCGTTGCCTTATTCTCTTTTCAATTTCTGCCTATAAAGGAAACGTAATAAAACGCTGTGTTACTGAACATACTTTGGAAAACTTTGATTGTCATCAGCCAATCTACTTGATTTATCTTGATATAAATTTACTGTAGCTGTTACCTTCTAGCATAAATAACTGGAGCAAACACTCCATTTCTGACAGTGCTCTCCAGTATTAACCAGTTTGGCAAATGTCTTAAGGTTCTCAAAATTAAGTCCAAAACAAAAGGAGATTATTTTTTTCCACTAGCATGAAGCGAATCAACAAGACAGTCATCCT